GGACGGCAGACCTTTACAAGTGGTGGTCAGCAAACGCAAAACAGTATCCAAGCCTGACAGAATTCGCTAAGATTTATCTATCGTCTCCCAGCAGTAGTGTATATAGTGAGAGGCTATTTTCAGAAGCAGGTATAGTTTATGAGGAAAAGCGCAATCGTTTGCTATCAACAAATGCTGAAAAAATTGTTTTCATTCATTACAACTTACCACTGATAGATTTTAAGTATTAAATGTAATAATTTATGATTAAAATAAATACGTTTTTGAGTAATATGTGCGGTTTTTTTTCATGATTTGGTATTCGGTATTCGGCCGAATGTTGCATACTATTCGGCCGAATACCGAATATTAAAAAAAGTAGCCAAATACCGAATAGTAGCCGAATATTCGTGGCATCTCTAGTAATAACTGTTCAAGTTATTTTCAACTCAAATAATTGCATTCATTTATAAGATTCAATCACACTAACTAAAATAATTAAATAGAAATATTTTTATTAAAAAAGCAGTCAATTAGGCAACTTTTAATCTTAAAAAACATTCAAATATGTTTGTAAAAAATTAATTTGATAATTTAAAATGTTATGTAAATAAAACAGTGATGATATAATTTTTAAAGTTTATTAAATACTTGAATAAACATAATGACTACTAAATATAAATAGATTGATAATAATACAAACACATTATGAAGTTATTTGAAACATTTTATAGATATTTGAGGGTAATTTCAGTTCAGTTAGAAAGATCAAAATTGGGTTCTGCTTATTATACTTACACATCAGAATAATCAAATTGACATTTATAATTCTATTAATTCATAATGTTAATTTTCATTTTCTGAAATTTTATATTTTTAGCATGTTGTTGGAAATTTAATAGCAAGTAATATCAAGCAGAGAGAAGTTTTACAAAGCAGTTTTGATCTCTTAGGAGAACTAGTAAAATTCAATCATCAAGCATTTCACCATTTAGACAAAGTGCTTAATTCTGAAGCTAGGGTAATTTATATTTAATAATTATCATTGTCATATTCAACAAATGTTATTCATTTTGACAATTTTATACATTGTTTTAGCAAAAGAAGCTTTTGTCACTAATGAGTGGAAGTTTGGTAGATTCAAATATGTTTATACGTAGTCTTATATTATCACAAGAACATTTTCTCACTTTAGGAGATGAAGATACAAAAAGTATTTAATATTACATATAAATGATTACTTACTTAATTATTTTTAATTTATCTGTTTAATTTTATTGTAGATTATGCCTTAAAACAATGTTTTTTATTAAGTCATGTGAAAGATTTAAGACAGAGAGTCAAATATCTGCAAAAATTAATTTCTCTTATTACAGTTGAAAATCTTACACAGGTAATTTATATAATTTTTATTTATTTATTTTTTTGCACTAAATGAAGTGTTAATAAGACTATTTAACCTACTAGATGATTTATTTTATCTTTATAGGATACTGATGTATATCAGTATGTAATAATTTATATTTAACTATTAAAATTTCTAAGAAATTTAATAATAATTCTATAAGAAAAATAAAATCACTACTTTGATTAATATTTATATTATAAATCAATGCTGCTTTTACTCCATTATAGAATTAAAAATATAATTAGAAATATTACAAAATTACCAAGTAACTAATTTTTAAAACATTAATAAAAAAGTAAATTTCAAGACAACTATAAAAGGTTGTCTGACAAAATTTAAAAGACTAATTATTGGCTAATTTAAGTAAATAAAAACACTAGAAAATGTTAAACAATTAAGTTTCTTCTTTATAAAAAAATAAGTATTGTTAATAACTTAAGGTTTTAATTGCATGTTAAGTGTGAAAAAAGTGTGTTTAATCTTATATATCATATAACCATGGACCTTTTTTTTATTATTATTACAATGAATTATATATAACGTTTGACAAATGAAATCTCAATAATTGTAAACATTCAAAATATAATATACAATGGAACCTCATAGTTAACATAGTTTTAACTTGTCACATCTTAATTCAAAGCTGTTTGCATTCTCTGTCAGTTCAGTACCAGGATTTGGTAATTGAAATTTGTTAAAAATATTGCACTCTGACTTAACACATTCACTTAATATCTATATTATTTATTTATTTCATTTATTTTTTGACAGATAATTCTTGTGTATGTTAGTTATTGAAAATATACAGGAATAATTTAATTTTGGTATAATTAAAAAACAGGATTTTTTTAAACATATGATGCTTTGTAAATGTGATGCTAAATATAAGTATGTACAATCAAAGTTTGATATTTAAAAATCATTTTCGGTTTACATGTTGTTGGCTTAGAAATGTAACAATCACCATTCACTGTATAGTAATTTTCAATTCAGTTTAAACATTACCATCTGATTGCAGAGACAGAGTTTACGTTAAACAATATGACGTTTATCAACAGAACAGTCTATAGATGTTGACTGGCTGAACCATGGTTTAAAATGCATTGCAAAGATGACGATCATCTATTTCTGAACTCCCTCTAAATGAACTTTGGCAAAACATTGGCTCTTACTTTTTTCGCTATTACTCCCGTTTTAGGAGTTGTTCGGCCAATCAGGTTATTTGTTTGTGACATCAGAAAAGCTTGCCAGCTATATTCCGAAAGCTTCCATAAATAAAATCTTAAGGCCGTCAACAACCATTGTTCAGCAATTAATGACAATTCTTTTCCATTTCGATATTTAATTTCGTCGCCACTATGGTTTAAAATACGAACAAATCCATATTTAGAAAATTTATACCAAATTCGAAATTCGTCTTCAGAATAGATTTTTAAGGAATTATTTTGACATCGTATTAATGTCTCCCTTCATAACTATCAAAATGAATAATTTCAAATATTTTTTTATTTCTATAAAAAGATTTTGGTACTTATTAAAATTGTCTCATTTGTTTAACAGAACGTTCTGACTAGGGGATTAATTACAATGACCCTGAAATGCATTAACATTTTATAACCGACATGATACTTGAATTGCAAATAAATAAATAAATAAATGCCTCTGATTTTAAATTAATTGTAATTTTAAGTCTTCACCCATTTGAATATTGGAATTGTAACATTTAAAATAAATTTAAAGTATTTAATCTTGTTATTTTTGCTCCATGCAATTAATTAATGAATAATTTTGTTGATTCATACTGTTTACAACATTTATCAAAGGAATGATATCCATTTTTATCTAAACTTTTCCACAAAACAAAGCTACCATTCGAATTAAAAAGACCTCTAAACCTGCTATCAAGTGAGTCTAGAAAGTAGGTCAAATCACTTGTTTCTAATCGCTGTCTACATTGTGGCAAGTGAGAAATGCCATCTCTGCAATGAAATTTTTCTGAACAGCAGTCTACCTGATCTGTAAACCACCATCAGCTTCTAAACGTTGTCTCTGCAATCAGCTGTACTTGTTTAGAAATATAATGGTCTTTGTTAGATTAAGTATATAATCTATTACTTTCTTATAAAACAACTGTTGTTTCATTATTTGGCCACTGGTTACCAAACAACATACTGTTTCCAAACAAGTTAATAAGTATGCCAATAACTTTACATCTTATATACTTTCCAGCACTATTTTAATTAAAACAAATGTTTTCGACTTCATTTAGAGGTCTACTTCGGGTTAAAAACATATAAATTACAAATGAAAGAAAAAAAATTAAAGTTCTAAAAGCTTATTTCAAATTTACAATATTCAAAAACTAACAAATTATGTATTTCAAAATTTGACAAACAAATAATTTATGTATTAAAATGAAAACATAAATTAACATATATAATTTATTTAATTTTTATTTATATGTTATTAAATGTAGACTATGTTGTTCTCTTGCCTCATCGGGTTATCAAGTAGAGACAGCCAAGCTTTGGATAATGTTTCCTTCTCCTTGAAATTAATATATACACCCTTTCTAGAAGCTTGGAAAATTTCAAATGCTTCCATTGATTTTAATTCTGCAAGTGTTTTTCTTAATATGTATTGTACAATAGTGATAGTTGTACATAAATATGTAATTATGAGGCAAACCATGATAATTCAAATCTCTTCAAACTTAGGATTTTTTTCCCCATCTGCTTTAAGATGATGATATTCTAAGTGTCATACAGAAATTACATTTGTGAATTAAATTAAAAATTTAACTAAAAATAAAATTTGACAGAATGAATCAAACAGAAAATACAGGCATGAATATTTTACTGTTTGCTTTAATTATCTTTTAAAATAGATTCATTAAATAAGATTAATATCAATAGTAAATTTTTATTTTATTAATTAAGTATTTTAACATTTTACTAGTTTAATAAATCCTAATGTTAGAAATAAAATTATTTTTATTAAATTTGTTGTTATTTCTTATAAGTGCATATTGTGAATATTCCACTAAAAAAAAATTGTTAAATTCTATTCAATACAAACTGCAAGTTATAAATTTTAAGTAATCTTATAAATGGTGTATTAATATAAGCATATAAAATATCAATGACTATAAATATAAAGACTTTCTTATATATTCTTTTTAGGAAAATGTTAGTTGTCTGAACACAGCACTAGTAATTTTGATTTTTGCACATAAATCTGGTGAAATGAAACAGTATTTAGAAATACTCAACAAAGATATAGATGATGAAGATTGTCCAATTGCAGTTCATAGACCTAATCATGTACAGAACTTGCATGATTTGTTGGTATTTTGGCAAGAACATTATTTACAAGAAGACAAAGATTGCACTGTTTTAGAAAAAGTAAGTTTTCTTGATTGATTATTTTTATTTTATGATTACTAATTAATTATTTACATATGTATAATACCTAAACTTACTGAAATAATATAATGTAAAAACACATTCAGCTTGACATTCAGGAAAGTTTTATACAGTCAACCCCCCTATAACACGGTAGATACGTTCCATTCTTTATGAAATTGATGTTCTATGAGTCCTTAAATACATGAGCCAATCACAGCCCGACACGTATGCAGTTTACTGAGTATGGCTGTTTGAAAGGTTTTCTTCCATAAAATTAATCGATTCTAGACTAATTTGACTCAACATTTCCAAAATACATATAATTTTTTTGGGAATAATCCATATAAACTATGCTATAAACAAAAAATTGTAGGATTACTTACCGAGTGTGCACCGTTCGATGACGCCATTGCTTAAGCTTGTTTTCGTCATGGAGCGATGCATCAAATGGCGCTTGCGTGCTTCCTGATAAATTATTTTTCTGCGAAAAATTAGCTGAACTGGCCAATGTCAATTGCTTTTCTCTTTTCTTCAGGATTTTTTGGAAGTAATTAATAGTATTGTAATTGTAGAGATCCCCAACCCCATTAACCTTATTCTGGTTTGGATGCCACTTGGATGATTGTTGTTCTGACATCTTCCCACTTCTTCAAAAGATCTTGAGTAGCAGATGTCGACATTGGTCCTCTTTTGTCTTCCTCTTTTTCAAAAGAAAACACATCTCGCTGAGTTTCTTGGTATTTTTCATTTGAGAGTTCTTGGAGTTCTGTTGTCAGATCAGTTTCAGTTCCATTATGAGCTCTAACATGCTCTTTATTTCTCAGACGTGATTTTCATTACTCCATTAGCAGCTTGAGACTTCTTGAAATATCTTTCATAGCTAAGATTAAGCCTACTGCAGACCTGTTGAAGCCATACTGACTAGCAATATCAGACATCTTGTGCTCACTTTCTACCTTGGCTATTATCTCTTACTTGGTTTCTATGGTGAGCACAGTTCACCGTAGAAATCATGACACTCCTTTTTTTTAGGCTCCAAAATATGATCAGTTTCTTTTGTAAATAAAAAGTTCAGAAAAGCACTTACAAAAATTCAGAGAACAGAAATTAACTAGGCCACAAAAACTTATTTAAATACAAGGCCTGGATGAAATTCGAAATTTTGTATTAAAACGTTAATGAATATCCTTTCCCCTTTCATAAATAAACCTCAGTGCAAAATTTAACAAGTACCTGTCTGACAGTCTCGTGAAGACTATAAAAATTATATGTCAGAAAGGTAAACAAAAAGCTGGAATTACAAGGGCGAGTTTCAAAATTTGGAGGAATACTATCCGATCGGTATCGAGTTGAGAGTCAATACTGATCGGATGTTACGTCTCCCATGCTCCAAAAGGTTTCGAGTTGTTATCTGAAGACAAGGGAAAATCAATCAGTATTCGTTATTTTCCATCTCTTCTTTTTATGTTTATTCAGTAAAGTATTCGTTATCCGAACATGTGTTCATTGTCTGATCATAAAAATCTTTCACAAAAGTGTTCATTATCCGATTTGTTTGCTATCCGAACTGTTCGCTAACCGATCACCCACTGTATCTATTTTGTTTGTGAAAAATAAAAAATTAATTTTGGACAATACAATAGCCACAATTATTTTTTTAAAAAACAAAATTTTTCGTTAGGCTTAACATTGACAAAAATTCAACATGGCAGCCACATGCAATGGAGAAAAATTTTAACATGGGATAGGTTAATGACAAATTTTATAGTACAGGTAACCCTCATACAACACTATTTCTACAACAAGATTTGAAAATTGGGGAATTTTCAAACTTTGACCAATTTTCAAACCTTATAGAAAGTGTTGTACGTGGATAGAAATATCCCTGTACAACACAACTTCTTGTTTCATTCTAACACAGTTGTGGAAATGCTTTGTACAAAATTTTGTAATTTTTTAAGTGCAAACTTCATTATTTGATGTTTTTTTTAGTAAGCACGCATGTTGTCTTAAATTTGCCCACGGATTTTAGAATATTGAAATTTTCAAATTATTTTGCCTTTTTCGTTAGGTTTACTTTAATGAAAAATGATAGTGGAATTTTTTTCTTCCTTGTGCAACTTTCCTATCAACCAGGTGTCATTGTCATTGCTTCCAGACTTTAGCCCTTAAAACTGTCACTGTTTTTTCTTTTTATAGATTAATCTTTGTATTTAGTAAAGTTTATTTAAACATTTTTAGGTAGGTGTTATTAAATCTTTTTTTAACCATAGGTATTACTTACCTATGAATGATTACTTCATTTGTAAAAAGGATGAATGAAATATGGTGGTATCTTGGTGCTCGAACAATTCGGTATTCAAACACAAATTCTGGGAAAAAGTCACTCAGTACTCAACTGAATAAATGCAACCCACTTGAACGAATTTTCAATTAATAACATATTTTTATTTCGTCATCCATGAAAATAAAAAATAGGAAAATGTTACTGATACTTCTGATCAAGATCTACAAAAAGACTGAGGTGGTGATGATACTTTTGTAAAAAGAAATGCCCTGTTTTAACTAAAATCAATATTAACATCTAATAGAGTACTTTTAATTATGATTATTTCCAATCAATAATTAACAAATTATTGATTTCTTCAATAAACATATTTCTCTTAATAACAAAAAAGAATAATATACTTTTGCTAACTTCTGGAACGTAATCCTATGTTTTGCATCAGTCCTTTGTTTTGTATAGCATGGATTTGCATAACATGGTACTTTTTCAGAACATAACTATCATGTTATACGAGGGATACTTGTAAATGGTTATTTAAAATTGTTCTTATAAAAACTGAAATAATGCTAATAAAGAAAATTACACTTTATGAAATAGTTTCAAATAGAACATTAATGTAAATTATATTTTTTAAAATAATGTTTTTCTGTCTTTTTAAATGCAAATGTTTTGATAAAATAAAACATTTGACCTGTTTTTTTTTTTAAATTAATTTTTTTTAAATATCTAGTTAGAAATGTTCTCTTTAAGTTCCATTTTGTTAAATACATCTATATTAGCTTATTTACTTGATATTAATTTTTGAAAAAATTGCTTGTAAATCTAAAAATATGGAGTGATTAAAAAGCAATTTAAAAAAAATCATCAAATTAATACATTTGAAAATATATTGGTATTTTATAATTATATAGTAATTTCATTTTTTATTTTAAAAATGGTTTTGAAAATATTGTTTGTAATAAAGTAATATTGTAAAGTTTGTAATATTGTAATAAAGTACTCAAATTATAATTTTTCTCCCTTAATATTTGACTTCTTTTTTTAGAACTATAACATATAATTATGAAGAAACTTTTTCAAAGAATTTGGAGAAATAAGTTATCTTCTAGATACTTAAATATTCACTAAAGAACTGGTTTTTTTCCCCCCATAAAATAATCTATTTATTACTTTTAAAGAATTTATGCACTAAAAGTTAAATTTTCATTAATGAAATGTAATTTTATTTAATTTAAAACATTTTTATGCTTTATTATTATTTCACCCATAATTATTTAAAAAAACAAGGAAAAGATTAGAAGAGATAAGTATAAATATGAATTAATTTAAAATACTGAAATTGAAATTTAGAACAATAGATTATAAGATGGAAAATATATTTATAATAAAATAATTTCTCTGTATAATAATCAAATAAAAATAAAATGATTATTATTTGTGGGGGCAAAAGCTGAAGTACTACAACTTCAGAGATCTGTTGTGCACCCAATAAAAAGCTACTTTAGAAGGCTGATTTAAAAAATAAAAAAAAAATACAATGTTGCCTTCTCTCCTGTAAAAAAAATATTACATTACATACTCAAAAAGTTGAATCCAGATGAAAAGTTGCACACTTGCAAATGAAATGCAGAAGTGTCTCCTTAACAGAGTCAGAAAAGCAATAAGTAGGTGAAGAGAGTTTTCTTGCACAAATGTTTACAAAAGTGACCAGAACCAGCCTAACACCAACCAAAATGTAAATATAATTTTTTTCAAATATAAGAGAATCTTTAGTTAGTACAGAAGAAAAACTAGACAAAATAATCTTGTTAGGCAGATATTTAAATCGGATACTTTCCTTTTGAGTAAAACTGTAGAAATAATCCAGGCTTCTTGCTTTAGCAAAAGTATTAAGAGATAAGAAGAGTTGATTCAGACTCAACAAAAGGGAGTTTAAAGCACCCTGCTTAGATACAATGTAGATAGTCCTATTTAAAGCCCATCTATTCAAAATAGTTAAATACACCAAATAATAGCAAACACCTCCATTTGAAGCATTACAGTGGGAACATTAGCATAGCACTTAGTGCTATGCTAATGTTCCCACTTAAGTCTCCCTCAACCCTAGTGCTATTATCAGTTTTAAATCCATCTGTAAGTCAGACTAGATCCTGTGAATGAAAAGTTACATACCCCGATTCAATCAAGGGAACTAGAAAAGGAGACAAGAAAGCATTTATCAAAATAAAACTGATGTTAATAACAAGAAGTATTGCTACGAAATTAAAATTCTGGACTCCATTTGTTAATATTTTTGGCAGAAAATGATTTAAATTTTTAATATACATATAAAAATTATTTATAACAAGAAAATAGTTATGAAAAAACTTTATATGGCCACTTATAATGAGGTGAAAATAAACAACAAAAAATATTTTGAATTAAATAAAATTAAAGCTCATGTTTGGACATCTTTACGTGATAGTGATTTCTGATGATTTGACCAGATATTATACTTTGTATATTTGAAATATTTATTTGTATTTGCTTGAATAATATAGTTTTATATAATTTGATTTAAAAAGTCACTTTCTTAGTTATTCATATAAAAATTATTACATTATGATAATGTTTTGAAAATAAACATTCTGAAATTAAGCATTTTAATTATGTTAAACACTTAAACTTCTCTAACTATAAAATTTTGACTTGTGCATATTTTTTTTTTCTTATAGAGTTCCCGAATAAGTTTTCAAGAATGGCAACACATAGTTGAACTTTTAATACTATCAGATTCTAGCAATCCCAATTCATTATTGTATCATATATCTCCAACTTCACTTGTAAGATCATACTAATTATATAAAAAAAATATTACATTATATATGAACTATTTTTAAGTACATAATATAAAAATTTTAATTTATTTATTTGTGGTGTTTGCATTATTATATATCAATTGTATTTTTATGTGTATATATATATTACAATAAGAGCTCATCTTTGAAATTTCAAATTTAATTGGTAAATATTGCCAATATATTACCATCAAATCCAATAGTGAATGTTTAGAATTATGAAGGAAAAAATTGAATACATTAGTAATTTTAGTAAAAACAAATTAAAGAAATAAAATTAATTGTAAATAAGAATTAAAAAAAGAAACTTTTTTTTAAGTTTTATAATGATTATTCATTCATTTAAAAAGCATTGTAGTATTTTTCTTACATTCAAAATTTATAAAATCTACAGTTATTAATATCTAAATTAGGTTGTTATATATAAACAATAAAATTTCTTAGCCATACTTAATATTTAATTTTTAGATCAGAATTAATAGATAAGTATATTAAATATTCAAGTATAAGAAAATTATAGAAAAAGATATTTAGAAGTAGGCAGGTTTTCCATAATATTTTATAGTTTAGTAATTTCATATTACAGTGAAACATGTATAAACCAGAATGACAATATCAAATTTTTTTTCCATTTTGGTAATTTTCTGTTTTGAATAGGTTTTAGTATATTTTTTTTTTCTTTAAAATAAATACATTTGATGTCACACAGTTACATTCATTTTTTATAGTAAAATCAATAATATAATAAAAAAATTTTATTACTAGGTTTGATTCAAAGTGATTACAACTAAAGATGGGAGTTTTCAAATGCCACAATTGAGAACTGTTCAATTGCAAAAAGTTCTCATTGTTTCCAATAGTTTGTGCTAAGTATTAGAATACTTTGTGGATGCAGTCCACGTGGGCTTTTATATGACAGTGAACAAGCCAATTCAAGTACAAATAACCAGTGTCTTGCTCTGCCATCTGAAATTTTAATCACATTACAGAATAACCTTGGTCTTTGTATTACTGTAATCTATTTTCAAGAAATTTTAATACTCTAATTAATCATTTACTTCAATCTCTGTAATTAGCAATATGTTAATCAACTTCTTTTCAATTAATTGATAATAGTTCAACTACTATCAAATATATGTAAATAACTATTATTGTATATAAAAGGCAAATTGGTAATACTGTGTTACGTTATTTTCATTGGTTTTATGAATTACATTCAAGACTTGTTCTACAGAACTCTATTTTCAGAAACTCATTCTGATCCTTAAATTAAAAGTACTCAATTCTACTCCTGATTAATTAATTCCAACAAAGGCTGTGTATGTCCTCTTGTCACATGCCCTTGGTTCTTCAAAAATGTTCAAAATTATTCTCTGAATGCAGATGTGACAAAGGAAATAATTTTACTTATTTGTCTACAAATGGAATCTTAATTTTCTTCTTTATTCAGGATAAGTTACATTTTTTGTACTCAAAAACCTCTTCTGTTTCCATGTTGGATAGGTTTCTGGCTTACAATAAAATATAGAAAATTGCTCTATTTCAAACAATTTTTTTCATTTAGGTAGGTTTCTGTTTTATTCAGGTTTTACTGTATTTATTTATATTAACATGCAAATAGAAGTGATCAACCAATAATTATATAATATAGAATATATACTTTCAATATTGATTATATATAGTGATGCTGAGTACATTGAATTTAATTCATTTCAGGAGGCTGTTCAAACTCTGAATCAATTTTCCCCATTAGAATTAATGGAAGAGGAATTAATTCATTTCCAGAACTTAAATAATACTCATTTCAATAAACTTAAAACAGCAAATACAAATAATTTTAGGCAAAAATAACAATTAAATGCCATAAAAAATAAATTAAAACACGAAAACAATAAATAAAGTACATAAATACTGTGTAATAAAACAAAAATTGCATCTAATGGTCGCACACTGTTGACTTTGGCATTTTAAGTATGACTGCCAGATCTACCACATGAGTACTACTTTCATGCTTCACAATAAGTTGTTCCTTTTTCATCTCAATTGTTGATACTACAACCTTTCCCTTGGGCTTTGTTGTTTCCATACTCTTCTTGGATGTCATTGTTAATAGATAGGAGTTACATATATGAAATGAAACACACCAAAAAATAAAGTGGAAAAAGGCATTGTAAACATTAGCATAACATAAAAGATGCTTTCACAGTGAGAGCAAGAAAAGATGTGTGCTCATAACATATGATGTTTATGTGGTTAGTGCATTTATTCACTGAGCATATATCAATAATTCAAACATAGAAGCATCATTCAAACTCTGGATAGAATTTCTCTCAAATTTAGTATTTTAACTCTGGAACATTTGAATTATGAGGTACAGTACCACTGTATGAAAATACTTAATTTGTATTTCACTTCAAATTCACTAAATATAAAATTACTCTATTCTAAAAATATTAATTAGTCCAAATCAATTGTTTTTTATATTTGAATATATACTCCAAAAATAAATAGTATTAAATAATGTATTCAAATTTGAATTTTAGTTAATATTGTATCACACAAAATATATAATATAATAAAATACTATTTGCTCTAATATAAAATAATCCTCTATTTTTCTATTAAAAAAAAATAAAAAAGCAATTAATTTTGCTAATCAATAAATGTAATAGTTTTCTTAGATTGTGAAATTTTTTTACTAATTGAACATAATTCTTTTTAAAATTTTTAAATTTTATTTAATGCAAATTTTTTATTTACAATTTTGTATCAGTAAGTTTATAATTTAAATGTTTATTAATAGTTCATATTTCTATGAATATCATATCTCTTCATATTAATCATATATCATTATTTTTCTCATTTTGCAGATAAGCAAAGTCTTTAAAAAACTTATAAAAAGAAGTTTTTTATTAATTACTTATTTAGATATATTGTTGTGAGGAGTTATTACATTGTATGTCATAACTTTGATAATTTTTAAAATTTAAATTCATCCTTTTCCAATTTATTCTATATTATTATAATGATTTTAATCAATCATTTGTTTGCAAATTTTTTTATGGCTTGATTTTTTTTTTATTTTTTCTTGGGGAATAAAAAGTAATTATTTATTATTTGATTATATCCATGAAACGTTTGCATTTTGTGCTTTCTGCATCTAGATATTATGAATGCTTAGTATATCAATTCATATCATTTCAATCTATATTTTGAAAATTCTTTTAATACTTTATGCTTAATTATTTTCTTCTCCACTAAATTTTAAATAAATGCAGAAATTTTGTATTTATGGCAAGACATATATTATTATTTCTTTTTACTATGCTGTGGTTAAGATGTCAAATAGCAATTCATGCAAGGAAGGAACAGCACAGTGATTACAGAATTATTTAGAATTTTGTCAGTTACATATTCAATATTCAAATCATTATTATTATATTGGTATAAAAAAATAATTAAACATGACTGTGTCAATCTGACTCTGTCAAAATTACTTTATTTCTTATTATAAAGAGCATTAATTGACAAAATAGATGATGAATATGAATAAATAAAAATGATTTGATACATATCTTCAGTAACAAAATGAATAGAAACTAGTAATTGTAATTGTATCATGCTTGTATTATAGTATCTTTAAATAATCAGGAGTATGCTTACTAACCTGACTTACTTTTTCATAATTTCCAAATTCTTGTTGACACAATTTCATAATAATCTAATCAAATAGATGAACATTTCTAATGCAATGGGAAGAACACATTCCATATTAAAGCAACAATAAACAATTGTTCTATGGATAAAATTTATCTATTTTAATTATGTTTTGTTAAGTCCATTTTACTAAGATTAATTATAATTCTTCTTTCAAATTTCCAAATAAAATTTAAATTCATTTAATAGAAGTGTGGGTTACTCTCTCAGTCCAACTTTTCACATTGAGTTTTAATTTCACTCTATGATTGAAAATATGTATTTATTGATTTTAAATTTTAATTCTTATAAATTGTTAATTATGTTATCTATATTCATTTGAAACATGAAATGTTTGTATAAATATAACAACACATTCAAAACACTTCAATTACTTCACTGTTATCAGAATATGATTGGCTTCAAATATTTAGCACTTTTTTATATACAGTACTTATATAAAGGAAGGACCTAAATATAATTTTTTTTGTTTTCAAGAAGTATTTGAAAGAAAAACGGTCTTGCTTTAAATTTATATTACTGTGTGTATTAACTTTTTAAATCTTTATTATAAAAACTAAAACGCCACAATTAAAATTCAAAAAAACATTTTTATCATACAATGTTACATCTTAATCAAACTTGCTGAATGAAACAATAATTATTAATGCATAAAAGGATTTATTTTAGTTTACATAAATGGTGCTAGAAATTTCTATTGCCAGTAATTCTCTGTAATCATTATTTTGAAATATCAAAAAAATTTTATTCATTTATTGTCATTCTATTGTTAGTTTCATTACATTTACTTCCCCATATTCAGAGTATATAATTAAAGTTTTAAGTTATTCTATATTTTTAAGGAAAGTAAAATATTGATTTTACAATAATCTGAAGATTGTGTTTTTAAAGACAATTATTAATAGTAATCTATATTAATTTAAGGAATTATTATTTGCTAATCTTTAATAATCTTAAGAAAAAAACATTTTTTTATCATAAAATTTTTATATAAGATGTATTTTAAGCCAATTAATTAAACATTGAAATAAAATACATCTTACTTTTGTTCTTATTATAGTATTTTTTTTTTTAAACTATATTTTTAAATTATAATTATGAAAAATAAATCAAATGAATTAAATACTTAACATCTTTTGTTTCATTCTTTTGTCAGTGACTATTCAAATTTATGCTGTGTATTACTGAATTTTATTGTGTAATTGCAATTTAACAATATTAAATTATTCTAAAGTTAAGAATTTATTAATGTTTAGCACTAACTCCAA